GTTTTGTTTTACAGGTGGTTGAAGTGGTCCTTGTTTGTGGAAGGTAGGAACATTGAAATCAAAGTGCACCAGAGTCCAGCTCATCTACCGTGCTTGTAACACACGCTCCTGCACCTGACAGCAAAACATGAAATTAATGTGAGCTATAAATGTTGGGTTTTGGCCCAGGTTGATCACCTGGCTTAGGAAGAAAAATGTCTTCAGCATGAGCAACAAGGAAAACTGATGCTGACCCCTCCAAACCTACACCGAGTCTCCCTAACAGCACTGAGAAATGTGCCAACTCCCTTTCTGAACTGGAATACCACAACAAGCCATGTACTTTGAGGCAAGAACATGCACTCTCTACCTCATCTATGTACACACAGTATCCTTTAGGATAGGCAACATATGACGTTGTCCTTTGCTATGGGGAAACGGCCTCCTGCTCCTTGTTTACACGCTGTGACATCAGTGGTGTGTGTATTTCTTCCCTGCTGCAAGGCACTCATGAACTAATGAGATAGGTAAGCTGCTGAGAAAACATGACTAACCAGGGTAGTGAGTATGTTGGGAGGAATGTCCCCAGACTCGAGGTATATATACAAGGAAACTGCTTTCACAGAACTCAGGTCCTCTCTGCCAGCTTTGCAACACTTGCTGGGTTTAGGGTTTCTTCTGTACTGATTTCAGCTGTTTTATATACACAGTGTTGAAGGATCTACTTAGGAGCAACCCACTTTTTTTAAATTTTACTTTTTTAAAAAAAATATCAGATGGCTTGAGAGAAAAAAAGCAGAATTGAGGGTGTTCTCTGGATCAAAGGAGTAAAACCCAAAAGAAATATGTTAAATGAGAAGTCTTAAGTTTTTCTTTAATATGAAGAATTATACATGCCCCCTTTTGATGTTCATGTTAATCCCAAAATGTCAGTCTTGGAGACCAAAGTCTAGGAAAAATGTAGCAATACAAGTATAGCAAAGAGGAAAGGAACACTAAATCCTCTGTACCAGCTTTTAGAGTAAAACTGTGCCATGGACCTCTTCCAGGCTGCTGACAAGTGCTCTCCAGAACCGTTAAAGCAAATGCAGGTACAGACCCTGAATGCTCTAGGATTCAGGAGTGGATTCAATGCCGTGAATTCTAGGAGTGGAATAGTTCCTGAGATTTTTACCTCTGTTTTTCTCAATGCCAGTCTAGAAGCAAAGTGAGTGTTGAGCAGCACGGCTTGGGAGGTGTGTGCTGTTGGAAACGCTGCTGGGTGCAGAGGTGTGGCAGTGGTGTTTGCACACCTCAGCTCACAGTGTGCAGCAGGAGCCTCAATTACACCCAGTGGAGAATAGGCCATGTTTGACATCAACACCGCAAATATTCACTTGCATTAAGCAACTGGATTGTAAACTACCATTTTTATGTCCAGTTTAAGAAATACCACAGAGGTCATGCTGCTCCAGAAACGTGTTGCAAAACCAAGTTCTTGTTTCTAGTAGTTTGTGCTCTGACACTTCACCGAGAGGCTGTCCCTTATTCCATGCTGCTGCTTGGGAGAGAGAGTGAGGGGAGAGATTTGATCTGCTCCCATACCTGCCGAACCACGGGCTGCTCTGAGAGCTGGCATGTTCCTCATTCACAGAGGGAGGTTATACAGTGTGCCTGGCAGAGTGACTACGTGCTACTCTACAGGGAAGACAAAGCTCCACTTACTGGGCTTGCTTTATTCATTCATTTATTTATTTAAAGCCTACATTCCCTATAGCGTTCACCCCAGTACGTGCCCCAGGGACCAAGCAGTGCAGGCACACTGCATCTTTTCTCTGTGCTTGTTCTGATTAGGATGGCAAAGGGGATAAACATGACCTTGGTTAGCCTAGATGTTTAGCAGGTGGTTAAAGTCTAAGGTGTTGGTATTCAGCCTCTGCTTTCTGTAATGAGACCCCTACCCAGCAAGCACAAGCTTCAAGACAAGTGGATTTTGGTTTTGCTCTTAACAAAAGTTTTTCCGCATCCCATGAAGTAGCTCATGGGTGTGCACAAGTCACACTCTCCAAAGTTATTTAACAAATCAAGTATATTGGATTAACCTAAACCAAGACTGATTGTTTTTATCGCTACAATACTGGGCTGTGCTCTGAGGAGAGGGAAGAAACAGAGTTTTCAGAAATAAGTGCATTCTGTTTCCTTTTTGTTGTTATTTGAGATACCAAGATAGGCTTATCCCACTTTTTGCAGGTGTATAGAAAAGTGGTTTCGGGACAAATGCTGCTGCTAGCGGCCACTAGTTGGCATTATTGATACATCCCAGTAGGGAGACGGTGCAATAAAAACGTGGGCAGACAGCACAGCGGGGAGCTGAGGTGGTGCCTTGTGCTCACCTCGCAGCCTTCCCCAGCTCTGAGGTTGGTGGGTTACACTGAATTACAGCTCGGCCAAATAAGGCTGAAACCAACTGGATGCCTTCCCAAGGAGACGAGGTGACAAGTGCTTTTTTCTTTGGTCACCACCCTCCCCCAGAGGAACTTACTTTGGTTGAAGATGCCTCACAGGGTTTTGGACACCACAGATGTTACGTAGTGTTTGGGCCAAAACCCAAAATCCATTAATGCTCAAGGTCTGCAGCATTAATAATTACAGTTTGTGGATGTAGCAATAATTTACCAGTAACTCTCATAGAAATACTTTGAGAACACAGGGCTGCTGTGAGCCAGCACATCTTATGCAACCAATGGGTGTGTGTATATTTTTGAAAGAGCCTTTTGTTATGGAGCTTGGTGGAATTAGACTTGCCTTAATCTGCTTTGAGATTTATGCCAGGAGCCCTGATAAATAAGATGTCACCGATGAAACAAGTATGAGCTGAGATATCAAATTGTTGCCTGAAATGGATTTTGCTTGGTAAAAGGAGATCAAGTCAGCAATTCAGCCTTCAGGAGAGTAGAGAGTTTGGAATAGAAGAGAAAAAGAAACTCTATGCCATCTTTAGGGAAAAAAAGCAAACACAAAGTCATTAAATTGTTTTATAGAAGAGTTTTCATTCATACGTAGAGACTAATCTCCAATTAAATCCATTCCAAAATTGTTATTGAATAGCAAGGATAAAGGTGCTGCCTGTCCCTGCCTGCATGTGTTTTAGGAACCTTCTATGACACAGAAGAACTACAATGAGACAAAGACACTTTTGGTTTGAAATCTCTTTTACTCTCAACATTTTAAAGGGAATGGCAGGCAACTGTGGTGACAAATCTAATTTTCTGGATTATCAACTTCTCAGATTTGCATTACCATCCACTTGTTGAAAGACAAGATGCATTTTGTAGTAGCTGTAGACCCTCCTGTGAGATTGAAATGAGAGGCTTTCTGGGCTCCCTGGCAGGGATGAGAATGAAAAGGTCCATCAGTTGGATCCACTTTGGAAAGCTGAGTTGTGGGTCCTCCTCACAGCCACCAAATGTGTAAAGAGCGGGCCGTGCCAGCTCCAGATCTCTGAGCACCAAGTGCTTTTCAATGAGGAGAAAAGCATCTGCCAAAGGTTAAGGTATCATAACTGAGGTCTGAGGTTTGGAGAACTGGGACCCATCTCTTTGCTTGTTTAAAACACACAGCCTGATTTAAAAAATCCTCACTTGCGTAAAGTGCTTTGTTAAATGAGGGAGAAGGTGTGCTTGGGGGTGAGTTTCTGCTCAGGGAACAAGTGAACTTTTACCTTTATTGGGGTAGTTCTGCCACTACTTGGCATCTGATTTTGTTTTATGGGTTCTGCTTGCACATTTCACTCTGGCGGCATAGATTCAGTCTATGGTGTAAAACAACAATCTTTGGAGCAGAAACCTGCCTAGACAGTTCTCAGCAAAACTCTTCGTTCACTTGACGGTGGGAGAAATATTTGAATAATATAAAGCAATTCCCTCCTGCCTCCTCGTAGGCTGATTAATATAATTTCATCTTGCACCTGACCCATGCTATTCAATACAATTAAAACATATAAATTATAGACCTCCAGTTTGCATAATATACTTTAGAAAGACCATGTAAGACCATGTTGTTATACTACATATTTATTGGAGCAGCCACAGTGCTGAAAACATCCTAATCTCAACCTTGTGGACAAAATTGCTCAGGTAGAGCAACAGAATACAAGTGAGTGGAAATGGGAAAGTAGAAATATTGGTTTGAAAAATAGAAACCTGAGAAGCCTTCCTGCGAACATTGGTAATAACTCAGTACTGTTGACAGTAATCGCATGGTTTCGCCCAGTTTTTGTTTTGGCATCGTATCGCTTTCCCGCTTCTCTCCAAGAGGAAGGTTGAGGTGGCCTCGACCGAGAGCCTCTTGCCACCGCAGTATGGTGCAAGCCACAACCAAAATCACTCCTGGTCTGCCCCTGCCTACTCCATACTGGGGAAGAGGAACACAGATGACTCATCTCAATTGTGAGCAACTGCTCATGTTGCCCTTCTTGCTGGATGCTGCTCATGGGATGCACATGACCAAAAAGTCTCTGTTTTCCATGCCTGTGTCCTGGAGCCAAGGACTGGCAGGACTGGGGCGAAGTGTGAGGGAGCGTGCCAATGGCCACACGAGGTGGCACCAGCAGCGGTGGGAAGCTGAGGGGCATTCTGCTCATTCCCACCTCTGCAGCTCCATAAGAGGGTGGCAATCAATGGTTGCATGGATTGTGAGTGAGGGCTGCCAAGGCTGCATCTGGACAACGCTCTCAGGTTGGTTCTTGGGATGTCCCGGGCAGGGCCAGGACTTGGACTCGATGGTCCTCACGCGGCCTTTCCAGCTCAGGATAGTCTGTTCATCCCGCGAAGCCCACGGGGGGAAGCTTGGACCACAAGGCGCGCGGCGGCACCCCAGACCACGATTCCCACCCGGAATCCCGCAGGGAGCGGCAGCGGGCCCTCACGGCCAGGCTCCTCCCGCCTCCCTTACGGGAAGCGCGGCCCCGCCCGGCGCGGCCCCTCCCGCGGGGGGCGGACCCCGTATAAGCGCGGCCGCGGCCCCGCGCCCCCAGAGCCCGCTCCGCCGCCCGCTCAGTGATCGTGGAGAGCAGCCGGGACGCGGCGCCCGATGGCGGCGACGGCGGCGCCCTCAGCAGCCCCATCAACCTCGCCTACTTCTACGGGGCCTCGCCCCACTCCAGCGAGGGTAGCTGCTCGCCGGCGCACTCCTCCGCCCCGGGCTCGCCGGGATCCGACTCGGACCTCTCGGTGAGCAGCCGCGGCGGCGGCCGGAGGGACCCCCGGGGCGGCCCCCGCCCCGCGCTGCAAGGTACGGCGGGTCCCCGCGGCGGCCCCGGCCCCGGGGGGTGGCGGGGGGAGCGCGGAGCCGCGGGTCCCGCTCCGTGCCCTCGGGGGCGAGGCCGGGATCCTCCTGCGTGCCAGAGCCGTGAAAAGCGGACGCGTTTGGCCGGAGCTTCGTGCCCGGTGCCGCGGTGTTCCCGTCCGTGGAGCGGGAGCGGCGGGGCGGTCCCGGCGGTCCCGGGGAAGCCGCACGGCCGTGGAATGGCGAAGGGGTACGCGGAGCAGCTCTCTGGCTCCTCTGCTAGATCAGGCTTTGGGGGCCTTTCCTCGGGAGTTTCTAGTTTGTTTCTGGTTTTTTTTTTTTTTTTGTGGTTTTTTTTTTTAATTTTTAAAAGATTTTTTTTAATATGTATTATTTGTGAAACGTAAACGAAATAGGTGGCCTAAGTTCGGGTTTTGCTTTCATGTCTCCGCAGTTGAACAACACATGGGGGGAGGAAAGCAGCACAGAGGACCTTTCCAGGGGGTCCGTGTGAAGAACTCGGTGAAGGAGCTGCTGCTGCATTTCAGGAGCAGCAAGCAGATGTCCTCGGGTCCTGCCACCGAGGAAAGCAAGGTAAGCGGCAGCTTTCTGCATTGGCAGGTTTGATTTTAATGGTTGCTGAAGCTGGCAAGAAAGCACTTTGCGGTAATGCTAGAAATGAGCGTCTGCTTTATCTGCTGTGGATGGAATCAGTGTTTTTCCTTTTCAACACATAATGGAAAAATGCAGCTGGGAAGAAATCAGAAAGAAGGTTTACCGTGAGAGAAGGAGGCATTAAAAAATGTTCTTGCGAAGCTTTGTTTTCTAAAGGGAGTCTGGATAAAGATACATTTGTGTTGCGAAACCACAGAAATTCCGTGTTGGCTGGAATGAGATCATTCATTGGAAGGGTTAGGGATTTTTCTCAGATTTGTTTGTCATGCTGTTGTGTCTCTGTGCAAAGCACAGAGTGTAAAAGTGGGCCCTTTCAGTCTGAAAGGACCAAAATTACAGGAAATTCGGAAAAGATGAAAGGGTGTTTTTGATTTGATTAGATTCTTTTTTTCTGAGTGTGTGTTTGAAAGCTTCCTAGATTAGTGTTTTCAGAGGAAGATTTTTGCATAGGAAAGTTCATGACACTAAAGAAGTGTAAAATTGGCTGGGTTATTTATGTTTCAAAAAAATCCTCTGGTCTCTGGAAGTAATAATGCCTTTCTCTAGATTTTCTGGAGTTTTGTGGTATTATAACAAATGGCTTGAAAAGCCTAAAGAAAAACAGTGGGTTTTATTTAAGTTTCATTAAACTATTTCCATTTTCTAACCTTAATTAAAAGCAATTAAGTTAGGGTTAAACAACCACGTACTAGAATTATTCTAAGATATATTCTGTGTTTATAGAAGGAAGTCATGGCTGCTTTCTTGTTGTTGTTGGGGTTTTTTGGGTGGATTGTTTTTTGTGTTTATTTATTTTTGTTTGTTTTCCCCCAGAAATAGCATTATAATAACAGAAAAATTTGGATTTTTCTTAACAGGCACAAGGAGGATTGGTGAACTATGAACCATACACAGGTAGACCATTTTTTAATACATACCCTGCAGCAACATTTTAAATCAATTGTAAGAGTAATCTCTAAATGGATTCTAAATTTTTTATTTTCTTTTCACCAGAACTGAAGAACATACTGGGCCACAGTGGCAAAAGAAAGGCTCCTGAACTCCTTTCTGATGGACCTTCTTTCAAACGCCAAGCGAATGTTCACCCACATCTCCTGGTAAGTGTGTAGTAATTTTTTCTGTGCCTTTATTTTTCAGTTTGCTTTGTATGATCCGAAACTAGTTTGATCTGTATGACCAGATACAACTATACCTCTAATTTTCTGGGGCTTGTTTTGATTTGCCTTGTGTTGTTTCTTTTCCCCCACCATCAGACCCCACCCCAGACACCAACTTCTATGGATAGCATGGAGGAGCCCCATAAAACTGACCCGAAGCGCGACAGCAGTTCTGATCTGCTTCAGAACATTATAAACATCAAGAACGAGTCGAGCCCCATCTCCCTGAACACGGTGCAGGTGAGCTGGTTGCACTCGGTCTCCAGCCACGACTCGCCTGCTGAGCAGTACCAGGACAGCCCGGGAACACAGGCTTTCTCCCCGTCCCAGAAGTACCAAGCATTCCAAGACCACACCAGCCAGCATATGCTTGAGCCACCCCAACATTACCAGTTCCCTGCGTCCCAGAACCAAGATTTGTCCCAGAGTTATCCTTCAGATGCCTCCCTGGACTACAGGCCGTTTGTTGCCAGTGACCAGTCTCCTGCCTACCAGCAGGGCACCTTTGAGAGCCACGAGTTGCCGTACTGTCCTTCACAGAGCTTCTCTTCCCTCTTGAATGACTCTGAAGGCTCTGACAGCATCTCCGGTCCCCTCCAGTCACTGAGCAGTGCCCACCCGCAGGCCGAGGTTACCCCTCATGGCCCCAACTTCAGCTTGCTCTCCAGCAACCTCTGTGGTAGTCTGGAGCGCAGCATCTCTTTGGCTACTCTGAATGGCTCGCTGCCTGACCAAAACGTTGCCAGAAGCACGACGCAGCTGGGAAAGTCATTTTTTCAGTGGCAAGTGGAACAGGAGGAGAACAAACTGGCTAACATCTCTCAAGACCAGTTCCTTGCAAAAGATGCTGATGGAGACACGTGAGTGCCGTTTATCTTGGTGTTTCTGTTGTGGGAGGTTGGGGAATGTTTCTGTTTGGGTTTTGGCAGACTGTGGGTTATAGTGAAGCAGTTCAATAGCAGTGTTTGTGTCACAAGTGCAGTGGTTTGGCTGATCAAGGGAAAGGTGTGGTGTTGCTGATGGCTGCCATGCACATGCCAAGCACACTTGAGCAGATGTATTTTCTAATTTCAGGTGCTTATTTTTAAGACTTGGCTAAACAGGGAGGAAAACATTCTAATTTAGAAGCTTTAGATTGCCCTGGCAAGAAAATACCCATGTTCCTGTCTTAGCTACCTTCAGAGGAGGTCTGAAGCTGGCAGCCTAGCACCCCTTCTGTACATGTGGTTCTCTGCTGTCTTGAGCCCTGTTTTGTGTGTGGTGGTGTAACTCTGTTGCCCCTTTTTCCTGCAGCTTCCTCCACATCGCTGTGGCCCAGGGCCGTCGAGCACTCTCCTATGTTCTTGCAAGGAAGATGGCTGCCCTGCACATGCTGGATATTAAAGAGCACAATGGCCAGGTGAGGATCTAAAAAAAATCTTTGCACCTGCTGTGTGCACCTGGGTGCTTCTCTATGTCTGAACCCTGGGAAGGATGTGGTGAAATGCTTATTTAATATTAACCCCAAGATTTAGCCTGCATACTAATATTAACCTTGAGCTATTAATACTTCTTGGGATCACCTTGAGCTGGTAAAACTATGTGCTCTGCTTCATTTGTCCTGGCTTCCTTAGTATTCATAATCACTGCTTAAATAATACCAGGTAGCTAGGGTTTTTATTTGTTTTAGTTGCTCTTTCCTGTTAGAGATCAGATGACTAATAGCTTAAATTTTCTTCTTGATGTTTGCAGAGTGCTTTCCAGGTTGCTGTGGCTGCCAATCAGCATCTCATTGTGCAGGACCTGGTTAGCTTGGGGGCTCAAGTGAACACCACAGACTGCTGGGGAAGGACGCCACTGCATGTCTGCGCTGAGAAGGGGCATGCCCAGGTCCTCCAGGTAAGAGCCAGGCAGGCACAGCTCTGCCCTAGCCCTTGACTCTTACCCTTGGTGTTAGCTGTGTTGAGAAACTCTGGAAACACCACTCCTTCCTTTAGCTTTCTCTCTGGGGAGCTTTGTGAGTCCGTCTGCACATACAGCTTAAAGTGGGACTGAATTTCTCGTTAAGGTTTTCATCAACATTTTTGAGTAATTTTGGGGGAATCCTCTAGTTTACCAAACCAAAACAGTAAGTGTCCTCTTAATCAAATGGTTTGGGTTGGAAAGGACTTGAAAGATTTCCTAGTTCCACCCCCCTTGCTGTGCTCAACGACACCTTTCACTAGACCAGAGAGGCTTAGAGGCTCATTCAGAATGCCTTGAACACTTCCAGGGATGCTGTTATTCATTGCAACTTTATTACAGCTATTGCAGTAAGACAGTAAAACAAATTTGAAGCAGTATGTGGTTTGGATAAGACCTAAATGTGTACCTGTTCCCACTTTTGTAGGCAATCCAAAAGGGAGCTATGGGAAGCAATCAGTATGTGGACCTTGAGGCAACAAACTATGATGGTGAGTAGTTAAGAGTTTATAATTTACAGAGTTACTGGATAGTACAGTGTTTTATAGCTACTGATGGGAATGCAGTATTTCCTTTTCAGATGGAAATTTACAGGTGCAATTGACATATGTTAGATGAAAACGTGCTAGGTCTGTGTCTGTCAGGAGTGATTTCCTCTTACATGTGATTGCTGCATGGAGAGTATAGGTTGTAACTGGCCATTGTTAAAACATTGGTGTGCCAGCATTGTGTCAGTGGATACAGTAGCCACAATCTGGCAGTAGAAAGCTGTTCTATTTGGATCCCTTTTCCATAAAACAGCTCTTTCTAATGTATAGTTTGTACAAATTCTAGTTCCAACCCCCTTGCTGTGCTCAGCAACACCTTTCACTAGACCAGAGAGGCTTAGAGGCTCATTCAGAATGCCTTGAACACTTCCAGGGATGCTGTTATTCATTGCAACTTTATTACAGCTATTGCAGTAAGACAGTAAAACAAATTTGAAGCAGTATGTGGTTTGGATAAGACCTAAATGTGTACCTGTTCCCACTTTTGTAGGCAATCCAAAAGGGAGCTATGGGAAGCAATCAGTATGTGGACCTTGAGGCAACAAACTATGATGGTGAGTAGTTAAGAGTTTATAATTTACAGAGTTACTGGATAGTACAGTGTTTTATAGCTACTGATGGGAATGCAGTATTTCCTTTTCAGATGGAAATTTACAGGTGCAATTGACATATGTTAGATGAAAACGTGCTAGGTCTGTGTCTGTCAGGAGTGATTTCCTCTTACATGTGATTGCTGCATGGAGAGTATAGGTTGTAACTGGCCATTGTTAAAACATTGGTGTGCCAGCATTGTGTCAGTGGATACAGTAGCCACAATCTGGCAGTAGAAAGCTGTTCTATTTGGATCCCTTTTCCATAAAACAGCTCTTTCTAATGTATAGTTTGTACAAAAATATATTAGAAATTGATTCTTTCACCATCTGCTGGCTGAGAGCTCACAGTAGGCTGCTACCTCACTGTTCTGTTGTTGATGGACAGTCCAGATCTCAGGCTGCTTGGGACCAGTCACTGTCACCTACAAATATGGAACCATCCCTGGGCTTAATGGGGGTAGAAGCTCCTTTATCCAACCTCTGAAACAAGCAGCCAGTCAGTACTTCTGTATTGCATTTGTTCATTCTTGATGATTTTTATGGGGTTTTTTTTTTTTTATGTTCAGGTTTGACAGCATTGCACTGTGCAGTTCTGGCCCATAATGCTGTGCTGCATGAACTGCAGAACTGTCAGCCACCTCACTCCCCTGAGGTCCAGGAGCTTCTGCTGAGAAACAAGAGCCTGGTAGAAACCATCAAGATCCTGATACAAATGGGAGCCTCTGTTGAAGCAAAAGTGAGTAAAATGCCTTAGTCTGAAGTGCCAGAGAGAATGTGGAAGCAGACTATGTCCCTTTCTCCCACGCTGCATTTATTACAAGGGAAGAAGACTAATTTGAAAGCTTCCCTGCAGCTTAATTTATCCAGATGGGATGAGAATGCTCCATTTATTCAGAGCAAGGTATTATCAATGCAAATGAATCCTGGGGAAGGAGGGAGCTGACAGTCTAATCTCTAGACTAAAAATGATGCTGCCCTGGCTGCAGTGAGTGAGTGTTGTAAAACTAAGAATATGTTTGGAGCATTCTGAGGTACCCATAGTAGTAGGGTGCTGATGACACCTTGTTCTTGAACTGCAAATTTTAATTAAAAACTGCTTACCTGTGCAGTTCAGATCTGTGCCGTGCCAGACCATTACTTAGCCAAAATACCAAATATTACATTATGTAAGCTTACCTACAGATGAGATCAGGTTCCATTGTTCATTAGATGTTGATATTAAAATATATGTATTCAGATTCACTTTTGATGAATTGTAGTGCAAGTATGTTTGCTCAACACTCTGCAGTTGCTTAGCTTTCTACTTTTATTTGTCTGCATGTTCCCCCTGGATAGGTGAGACACCTGCAGGAAAGACTAAACAGTTTCTTTTTTTGATAGGATCGCAAAAGTGGTCGCTCCGCTTTACATTTGGCAGCAGAAGAAGCAAACCTGGAGCTCATTCGTCTCTTTTTGGAGCTGCCCAACTATCTCTCTTTTGTTAATGCAAAGGTAAGGTGATTTTTCTATGATACAGATAGAGAAAGAGAGGCTCATGGCCCCACTTTTCCTTCATGGAGTTGCTTTGTGGTCCCCAGGCTTACAATGGCAACACAGCCCTGCACGTGGCGGCCAGCCTGCAGTACCGTGTGAGCCAGCTGGATGCTGTGCGCCTGCTCATGCGCAAGGGAGCCGATCCCAGCGCCAGGAACTTGGAGAATGAGCAGCCAGTTCATCTGGTTCCTGATGGCCTTGTAGGGGAACAGGTAAAAAAACTCATAGCAGCCCTCTCCTTCCATCAGTCCCTGTCCACACAAAAGCTGTGTTCCATGCCAGAAGTTTCTTTGGGGTTTTGAGTTGCAGCTTTCAAGGAAAAGATTTAGCAAATACCATTTTATTCTTTAGATCTTCAGCTTCAACACTAAGATCAGGCAGAATATGCAGACCTGAAATTTTAGGTTCCATGTTATTTTTTCCATCTCAAAAGCTTTTACCTGTTGAGATAGGCTTTGTTTCTGTAACCCTGCAACATACTGGAGGCAATACTCCTCTTGCTCATCTCAGTATGGCCTGAGTTCATGCTCTTGTCAGAATTAGTAATGACAGTTCTTAGGCCTGAGTAACAGATGTAGAAAATCACTTTTTCCTCCTTGATGAAAAACTGACTCTTGACCTAAGACTAGTAACTTAAGCGCGGCTGGGTTGCTGACTGTTGCCTTTCATTAGTTCAGATGCTGTACAGTGGGATCACTTGTGGTGTAACTGAACTCGGGACCTAGGCTTGGATAAATAAATGCAAAACTGGATCTAGGGTGGGATTCTTTCAGAACTCAGTTCAAGATGATGAATACTGATGTTTCTGTCTTTTTTCTCTTCTCCAGATAAGACGTATCCTCAAAGGGAAGGCGATTCAGCAGAGAGTGTCGCCGTTTTAGGCTCCATGTTTCTTGGAGTTCAGCAACTTACACTCACTGTCAGTCAGGCAGTCCTAATCTATCTGTAAATAGAGCATTTGCCTGGTGTGGGCAAATGTTAGTTGTTTCTGTGAAACAAAAGTATTTTGTTCACTATTATATAGTGGGTTACGTAAGAGTAAAAAAGCCCCAAACCCAGCAATCAAATTCCTCCAGCCAAAAGGGAATGCTTCATTCCCAAGTATGTGGAACATTTTCCTGGCTACCTGTATTTTCTGTATTTCATAGCTATGGTGAGACTGATTTTATTTAAACGGCCAATACAGATAACTTCTAGAAAGGGGCAATTCCTTGGGAATTTTTTTTTAAATTTTAGAGTGCTGATACAGGTCAAAATTGCAGAGATTTTTGTTGTGTTTTTAGATCTAGACAAGGGCAATTCTTTGGGAATTTTTTTTTTTTTAATTTTAGAGTGCTGATACAGGTCAAAATTGCAGAGATTTTTGTTGTGTTTTTAGTAACACTTAAATACAAGAGAAATTAAATATTTTTGAAGTTGAACATTATTTATGTAATTTTGCGGCTTTGTTCCAGTACCTTGTGCAGGATTGTATATAGTCACTGACATTATTGTACAGCTGTATAGTTCTAAGAATCTATTGATCACGTGGGGAAGGCTCTGAAGAAACAAGTTCCTTGATCTTGAACTTGCAAATTGCATACAGAGTTATAAAACTATACTGGTGCAAATCAGGTAAATTCTGTTGTTCTGAAAGACTGAGATTGGAAAGTAGAGTTATGATAGATTGTCCCTGGCACTGATTTGTGCATACTTTTGGAGTTGTGTAATAAAACATGAAAAGCTGTGCTTATTCAGGGGACTGTGTCAGTTTTTCTTGTACCCAGTAGGGGTTTTGTCTTGTGATAGAACAATAGATTGAGAGAGGAGGATCATTATTTTTATAGTATGTGTGTAACTTGTACTTTTAATCCTGATTCAGTGCAAGTGTTTGGCCTGCACTTCACTGTTGATGCATGCTGAAATCTCTCAATGTTAATTATAATACTTCAATGTGTTAAGCCTTACTGGTTGGGCTTAAGCCTTACTAGTTGGTGGGGCTTAAGCACATGTATAAGTAGCTTTCTGAATTGGGCTCTAGTTAATTCTAGAGACTTAGTTTTCCATCTCCTAAGCAGAGTTAGTCCATTTATGGTTTTACCTTATAGGTATAGTGGCTAGCAAAGTAATATTTGACATTAACAGTTTTCTATTTTTTAATAATTATGAATGGAAAATGTATATTAATGATGCTGTATACTTGTGTTCTCTTGGATAAAACTTCCTCCTGTCATTTTCTGAATGATCCATGCTGGGCTGTAATCCAGTAATATGTTCTCTGTATGGTCTTTGTTCTTAAACTGGTTTTTTTCATCACATGCAGTTCTCTGTTGTAACCATTTAATTAGTCTGATTATGCTGTTTTGGCAAAGTATGTCTTGTAGACAAGCTAAATGAAAAAATCTGATATGCAAAGGCTTAGTTGCAATGTATTTCTTGAAGGGGTATGTGTAACTTGTGTTTGAATAAACATGCTCATTTAGTTCTGGTGGTTACTGTGTGTGATACAAATAATGACGCAGTCAAGCTTGAGGTAAAACTGATTCAGCATGTTAATAGTGTGAGGCTGAAAAGCCATTTGCTAAGATGAAACGAATTCTTACCATCATGCTGGTTATTCTTTCTCTTGTTTGATGCTGGTGTTCTGCATCATGCACTGTGCACTTGTGTTGCCTGTGAACGTAGTAGGTGTGCCCCAAATCAAATTAACAGTCACTAGGTTGGAACCTGAACACTTGTCCTTGCATACTGGAAAGAATGATAGCAGTTCTGACCATGTTATGTTCCCTCCAGGGCTTCCCTGCCGTGGTCCTCACTTCTATCAGCTCAGGCACAAGTGTCACTCTAGCACAGGTGACAGTCTTTGTTAGGAAATTGGGCCGTACACATGGGGGTGGGCTGTCAGCCTCACAGGTGGTGATGAGATGGTTCTGAGCTGGCAGTGACCCTTCAGGGGGAAGAGCTGTCATCACAGCCTGTCCCAGCTGAGGATGGAGCTGGAGGGATGGCAACAGCTGAGATAAAAGTGGATGCAGCATTGGGATCTGTAGGAAAGGAAGAAAACCGAGAGGGCTTCTATGTAACTGTATGAACCTGCTGTCCAGCCTGCTGCTTGTGGTGAGAGTGAAAGTGTGGGAATTGGAAGAGGCCCAGAGGTGTGGAGGAGCCTCCTTGTAAGGAGCAGCAGAGTGGTTGAGGACAGTCCTGCAGAGCCAAGACATGCCAAAGAACCTGAGTGGGGATGAACTCCCTTCCATCATGAGAGCTGGAAGTTATTGATGAAGGTACCACACACACAGCAGGCAGCAGGAAACAGAATTGAATTTCTTATTAGGATATGCAAAGATGAAATGGCCTCTCTTTATGTGAATAGCTAATTTTGTCTAGATTGTGTTGACAATGCTGTCATCTGCACCTCTCACTGCAAGTGACCCTGCCTTGGGTATAACATTTTTTATTTATGCATGGAACCTGATAGTACTGTTTCCAGTTAATTTTCATTTTCTTTATAAGAGATGATTACACAAGAGAAAGAGTTGCTGATGAGATATTCTGGCCCTTCAGATCAGGCTGATCTGGCTGCCTGGCACTCCTTTCTGGGTGGCATTGACTGAGTCATCTCACATGGGGGTTAAATATTCTGGGCTTGTAAGGTTGGCACGTGTTCAGCCAGTGCTTGAGCATGAAGGAGGTGAGAGCATTTAGCAAGCAGTGTGGTGCTTTCTGTGGCACTTGTGCCCTTCTGGAAGGGGTACTCCTAGCACTCCAAGTTAGAAGATTCCTAGGGGGAGGCTCTAGTGTTTGAAACTTCATCTGCCCGGAGCATGATTTCATTGTCTGGAGAGTTCAGTAGGTAATTTCACAAGAAAGCATCCCTGCTCTAACTGCCTCATTTTTCTCTCCTATGATCTTGGGAAGGTCTGGCATATCTGACCCAGTTTAACTGGCTAATCGAAGCAATTCCTTTTTACTGAAGGCCAAGTGACACTAAATATTTAGCACACTAATAGTGTTTCCCTGATAACTTATGATTCTTGCAGCTGTTGAATAGCTTTTATTGATGTGGATGTAGGCTCACCATTTATTTCACTGGTTGCAGTAGAGACAAGAGACTGGCTTGGTTCCGAGTAGGAATATTAAGACAGATGGTGCTTTGTTCCCAGGATGTTTCTGATTTGTTTGTCTAAGTAAGCCAAACCTCAGTAAAGGGCTGGTTTTTGATTTTTGTGGGCTACTCATCCGGCTGGAGTTGTGGAAGGTGGCAATCCATGATTTGCGAATATGTTCCCCTTCTGGAGATGGAAAATGTACATTTCCCACATTTATTGCTCGTTTTATATTTTTATCAGAAAAAAACACACCCAGGAAATACGTTCGTAGAGAGGTTGGGTGTGGAAGAACTGACTGTGAGGATATGACATGAACTGCTTGTTCTTCTTACCTGACAATTTGCTTGTCTGGTGGCCTGTCTTTTAAAAATATTAATGCTCTCCTGTGTAAGGAAAGAACTGAGGCTGGTTAAAGTGCAGTGAACATATAAAGAACAGGCTCCTGCAATTAAGTATCTGCCAAAAATTGACCTGGTATTTCAACACATTCAAATCTTTCTATTGTTATCTATTTGGTGATATTCTTGGCCTGAGATATTGATGGCTTGGGAGGAAATGCTCATCTTACACAGACCCTATATGGTCAGCTCTTTTCCTGGCAAAATTTCCTCACTATTCTTGGCAGTATTTCTTTAGATCTGCTTCCTGATAGCAAAAAATCTCAAGGCAGCACTAATGAAATTGGGATCCACATTAGTGCCGAAGTCCTACACCTGAGGTTGTCTCTCTTATAATAGTGGAATTTAGACACTGGTTTCTTCTCCAGGTACCTATCTCAGTCTTGCTGGAGAAGAGTGAAATATCTTGGGCAGTGTTTTCCTAGTGTCTGTTTTCAGCTTTTGTTGTTGAGGCTGTCCCAATAAATAAATCTTTCTTTGACCTAATAAGCTTTACCTCTTTATCTCTTGGCTCTGAAAATGTGATCTAGACTGTTTTGAGAAAGTGATTGCTGTATTAACCAGCCTATACTTCACACGTGTTAGTTTCTGGTGAAATTTTTCCCTTTCCCTTTGCTAGTCAGAAGGCCTGATGGGAAGATGACTAAGGTGGTGCTTTAGATTTAGAATTGGGAGCAGACAATTGAAAGAAGTTACCTATACTTCACACGTGTTTTTCCCATTAGTTTCTGGTGAAATTTTTCCCTTTCCCTTTGCTAGTCAGAAGGCCTGATGGGAAGATGACTAAGGTGGTGCTTTAGATTTAGAATTGGGAGCAGACAATTGAAAGAAGTTGCACATTGGTTCTCTAGATGTGTCTGGGCTGCAAGGCAGACTGAAGAGTGAGTGACCTGTCTGGTGGATGCAGTGCAGAGATGCTTTTGCATCTTTTGCATGTGCTTAATGAAAGCTTGTAGTTCTGTTCAGATGACCTGGGCCACACAGATGACCTGTTGGTACCACAGTGGGTACCATCTTTTTCTAAGCTAGGTCATGGTATCAAATGCTGTGTGTTGGCCCCAAATAACAGATTTCTTCAGCAATGCTGAGTATTTTCCATTGACTCAGCCTGGGAGAGGGATAGAAATTGGGTCATTTCAGTCCATGGCTTCTTAGGACAGCCTTCAATCTATCTTGAGGCTTTTGTGGGAAGGCCCAGAGCTGCCCCATCATCTTCAGAGCCAGGCTTGCCATACAAAAGGACAGGGACTCCATAAACACTGCTATTCATGGCTAGCCAATCAACCCTGAAGAGCTGAGCGTGTACATCTTGTTGTTTATCCACAGGCAGAACACTTGGGTCATTTCAGTCCATGGCTCCTTAGGACAACCTTCAATCTTATCTTGAGGCTTTTGTGGGAAGGTCCGGAGCTGCCCCGTAATCTTCAGAGCCAGGCTTGCCATACAAAAGGACAGGGACTCCATAAACACTGCTATTCATGGCTAGCCAATCAACCCTGAAGAGCTGAGCGTGTACATCTTGTTGTTTATCCACAGGCAGAACACAGGTCCTTACCCAAGGACTTTGACTCCACTAAAAACATCCCAGTAAGTGATGCCAACAAATTTGGCATTTCTATAGGAAGAATTGGAAGTTTGAGGTCACAGTGATGAAAGATCCTGAGAGGTGCTTACAGTGTCCTTTGCACTGTGCTGCAGTTGGATGTACAGTGTAGGAGTAAGAACTGGGTCACCAGTGACAGCCCATGTTCATTTTGAGGGGAAGTGTTT